TGGCTTCGCATACGCGAATTATCTCTGTCAGAGTGGTATTAGATCAGACCGGGTGTCCAAAAAAGCTATTGTCGAATCCAGGAGCTCTCCCAGGAGAGGCGTGGATAAAAACGCGTTCAATTGAATACGATCAGGAGCGCTCCCACGGTCACTCTGACGGGTGCTCCTAAGCCATGCTCGATAAGGTGAGAATGCTCTTAGGATTGCGTTTTTCAGGAGAGTTCTCATCACTGTAGGATTCGTACAAGTCGTGGAAGGAGAGCGGCCGTTTCTTTGTTGATGCTCTACAGCTCGACTCTGACGTGCTAGCAACTCGTAGTGATGCTTGTTCTGCAGAGTCCCCATGTAAGGTTTGTACAATAGTTGTAGACAAGAAGTCGAACTGCGTGCAAGCGAAGCATTCCAATGCTCCAAAGAAGGGAAGGCCCTGGGAACAGTCACCTCCAAAGCCTATATGATCTAAGTGCTGCCAGACGATTTCTGATCATGACGACTCACTATGTGGGAGGGTCATCAAGAAGCCTTCTCGAGCTAAGGGAGCTGGTAGGATGTTTGCTGGGAGAATGGATGCTAGAGGCTTCACACAACAACTTGTACAAGAGCAGCTCCGAGAATCGTTCACGTCCAGTTTTTCTGGTGGTTCCGAGAGCTCTAAGACTCCTCTGCGGACAGGCGTCAAGCTGGATGGTCACCGGTATATCGGTATCACACCAGCTCGCTATGATGGGAGAGTCGATGCAAAGATTTGTCTTTTCCCTCTCTAGGTGCTAGAGATTTATTGCGGCTTGGACATCTTGGTCTTGGTGGTATTCGTTTCCCGAATGGCGGTCTGGAGGAGTGCAGGAACGAGAAGTGGGTCGTATTCGGGCCCTTTTTCCGTTGTGAGTCATTAAGCCTCGAAACTGAACGCCCTGAACCTCCCCATTCGACCCCCTTTGGCTTGTGTATTGACATTGTTGCTCTGCTCAACATCGTGACCGATGGAGATGCTGATTGTATAAATCGTTTGAAGTTTCAGTTTGACGGCGGTCGGCAGTTCCTGAAACTATCGGTGAACGTGGTGCCCACAAAGGACGGCTGTCCGTACATACCGAGCCCCAACAGCGTGCTCAAGAACTTCGTCATCGGCTTGGGGCAGGCTCTTGAAACGCCGCACAATCTGCAGCAGCTGTTAGGATTAGATAACTCAACAAGAGTTATAAACAAGTGGTTCTTAACTAATGATCAATACAGTAATCATAAAGTATACGCTAGGCTAGCAAGGGAGACTAGTATCACAAGAATCTAAAATTACAGAAGACACTTGTGTACAATATTTCCTCACATCTCCCCCTGGTTGCTACCCGCAACCAAAGTTAACAAACTAATCAAAAAGCTTGGACTTCCGACGTCCCATAATAAACTCTTAGATTGGCACGATGTTCATCTCGTTCAACGCCAAATTTATCAACGATAGTAACACGAGCATTATCGTTGTGAACAATTAAAACTTTCCACGGTCCTCTCCAACCATCAGTCATCTTAACAAGCACCTTTTGACCTATAGATAGAGCTCGGGGTGGCCTCTGATCTCCCACCGATTGTTCTCGATCATCTCTAACTTGACCAATCCAATCACGCTGCAATAACACACCTTCCTCTTTAGACTTCAGCTCATCCAAGGTAGGCAAGTCTTGCTCAGCATCATCGACATTCGAATCGGAACTAACAGGGGGAACCACAGATCCCAGATACATAGACCGATTAAA